GGAAAGGAAAGAAGGAAAGGAAAGAGGAAAGGAAAGGAAAGGAAAGGGGAAAGGAAAGGAAAGAGAAAAGGAAAGGAAACAAAAAAGGAAAGGAAAGGAAAAAGGAAAGGAAAGGAAAAAGGAAAGGAAAGGAGGAAAGGAAAGGAAAAGGAAAAGGAAGGAAGGGAAAGGGAAAAGGAAGGAAAAAGAAAAGGAAGGATAGCAGAATAACAGAGTTGGAAGGGACCTCAGAGGTCTTCTAGTCCAGCCCTCTGCTCGAGCAGGAGACCCTATCCCATTTCAGTGGCTGTCCAGTCTCTTCCAAAAGACGTAAGATTGGGGTCAAGATAATTCAGGGATCCTAGCCTGGTCTTACCTGAAGTTCTGGCACCGAGAGCACTGATTCCTCCGAAGCCGAAGACATCTCGTCTTCCTCATCCTGGATATAATCGTCAAAATCCTCCTCTTCCTCTTCCTCCAGACCGTCTTTCTCGCCTCCTCCCTCCTGGCCAGATGACGCCGTCCCTTCGGGGCGGTTCCCCACTTCCTCCCCCTTTCCCGAGGAGCTGACGGGATCCGCCACGGCGCTGCCGACAGCGTCGGCAGGGGAAGCATGACGACTTCCTCCTTCGGCCGCTTGTGGCCCGGTTGAGTTGGTGGCCTCCTGCTCCTCGTCTTCCTCCTCCTGCTCCTCCTCCTGGGAGCCCGCTTGGCTCTGCCCTTCCTTCAGCGCCTTCCGGACTCCTGAGGCCGTCTCAACCTCCAGGCCCTGCCCGAGGCCCAAAACCAGCTCGCCTTCCATCGGGGAGCCTTCCGAAGATGGATTTGGCGGGATAGGGGTGGCTTCCGGAGAGGGTATTATTTCCTTCGCGGTGTCCGAGTCCACCTTGACCAAGTCTCCTAACTCCGCCATGGGGGAGAACGGAGAAGGGCCCAAAACATCTCCCCCCTCCATGTAACCCTGGATAGGAAGTTCTGCCTGGACCCCAGAGGGAAGCTCGGAGGACCACGGGCCGCCGGCTTCTCCTGGGACCTTTTGAGGGCTGGACTGGTCAGGGTCTGGAATATCCCCACCGGGCGCTATTTTGCTGGCCGGCGGAGTACACCTCTCCGCGTCTTTGGTCATCGCGGACGCCGGGGGAGGGCCTGAACTGGAGGTGACCACCAAGGGAAGGGCAGAGGGAGGAGAAGTTGCCACTGGCTGGTTGAGCGGGCAGGGGAAAGGCGTGGGGTTTACCAGCAGGGTGGTGATGGGGATAGACTGGGGTGCCGAGACCGCCTGGGCTGTGGCCGAAAGCGGCTGGAGCACGTTGCAGCCGTTGGCGAGGCCCAAGACTTTGACTGTCCCAGCGGGAACGGTGAAGATGACCGGGGCTGGATGAAGCACTGGGGCGGCCTTCAGCAACGGAGCCGCTTTGGGGCTCTTCTTTTTCTGGGACCCCCTGGGGACAGGAACCTTCCGGACGCGGCTGGCGGGGAGAGCCGGGAGGATCATTTTGGGCTGGAAAGCGACCGGCAGGGAAGAGACCACGTTGGGGGGCACCGCGGGGGCCAAACACGGACGGGGTCCTGCCGGCCGAGCGGAGAGGACGCCTCGCAGCGTGAAAGGGGGGCCGTGGCCCAGGGCGGAGGTGGGTAGGTTCAGGTGGGGCACGGCCGACAACGGCTGGACCAATGAGGAGGGTTGCGGCAAGGGGGAGACATGAGCCAATTTGCCCGGGGCCGCTGCTGCGGCGGACAAGGGTTGCTTGGCGCTCATTTTCAGGTAGCTGCCTGTCCCGGCCGGGGTCAAACACGGTTGGACCAGGAAGGGTTTGGCGACGGCCGGACGCTGCCACCGCCACATTCGGCGGCAGAAGCGGCTGTTTAGGGGTCTCAGGATGAGCTGGAGGCCCTCGGGCATGCGCAGAGGGCACTCGGGGTTGGCGGGATCGGCCGGCTCGCTCCCGGCCTTGGTATCCGTGTCGGGGTCCTGGGAGGCCACTCTAGCACGCTGCTGCTCTATGGCCTCTTGGATGGAGGGCAAGCTGGCCTGGGAGAAAGAGGAGAAACAGAAGGCGGGGTGTGTGTGTGAAATAGGTGTTTATGTGTGGGTTGTGTTAAAGAGAAGCGGGGAATTGAAAAAAAAACACCTTGGGTTTGTGTTGAGCGTGAGAGAGTGAACTTTCAAGTACGTTAAAAGTTACATTTATTCGCTATACATTTATTTTCCTTTTTTGTTTTTACGCTCATTTTGGGGTCGTTGTTCTTAGCGCTGCTTTGTTTTGCATTTTACCTTTTTATGGTAAAATAAAATATAGTTAAAATAAAAAAAGACCAGGGAAGCTGTTCTTTCTCCCCGCCCCCTCTTGTTTTTTCCCCCCAGCGTCCAGGTGGGATGGATTCTATAAGTTAAAGTTAAATTTATTTCCTAATTGGATCACCTTTCTCTCTGGAAAGAGACAGAGAGAGATGGATAGATGGAGAAAGAGATGGAGAGAGGGATAGAGATGGAGAGAGAGAAATGGATAGATGGAGAGAGATGGAAAGGGAGATAAGAGATGGAGAGAGAGAAATGGATAGATGGAGAGAGATGGAGAGAGAGATGGAGAGAGAGAGAGATGGAGAGAGAGATGGAGAGAGAGAGAGATGGAGAGAGAGATGGAGAGAGAGATGGAGAGAGAGATGGAGAGAGAGAGAGATGGAGAGAGAGAGATGGATCGATGGAGAGAGATGGAAAGGGAGATAAGAGATGGAGAGAGAGAAATGGATAGATGGAGAGAGATGGAGAGAGAGAGAGAGATGGAGAGAGAGATGGATAGATGGAGAGAGATGGAGAGGGAGATAAGAGATGGGGAGAGAGAGAGGGATAGATGGAAAGAGAGATGGAGAGAAAGAGAGATGGAGAGAAAGATGGAGAGATAGAGAGAGGGAGAGAGAGGCATATATGGAGAGAGAGAGAGAGGGAGCACAAGAAAGCCAGAATTTGAGATTTCCCTAAAGGATTTTTAACGCCTGTCTGACAACAACAGGCTGTCCTTGACTTACAACCGTACGTGGAGCAGGAAAATACACTGCGACACAACACAATTGTGAAGCAAAGCCTCACATGTGACCCACGCACACTTCCCCCCCCCCTGCAATCCCCGCAAAGTTTACCTTTAACCAGAAGGGCAAGCGCTGCTCTTCCTGCTCCGCAGGCGGTTTCCAATCGCCGGGTTGAATTTCCTCGCAAAGACGGGGCAAAACCGGAAGCTGCTTCGTGGTTTTATAATACTAAAGAACAGATAACAAGAAACGATCCCTCAGGCTTCTGACCTTGCCTGATGATCCACAGAGGGGCAAGTCCTCAAATTACGACCGCAACGGAGCCCCGGATGGCTGCGCAGCTAAGCGAGACATCGGTCGAGTGAGGTTTTGCCTCAGGGTACGACGTTTCTGGCCGCCGTTGTTAAGTGGATCGCTGCGGTTAAAAGTCTATAGAGATCCTCCGTTGTCCAAGATCATGATTTCACCAAAGGTGCGCTTTTTTTTTCACGATATTCTTCTTTTTTGCTTCAAAGAAGTTTCGCTTCTCATCCACGGAGCTTCTTCAGCTTCTGACTGGTCCTTTGCATCCTTTTTAGAGAGTCATTGAGGCCACTTGGAGGTTTATCGGTGTCTTCTCAGGGTCACCTTGAGTAGCGCAAATGGGTGTGGAGAAGGCTCAAGTGACCCTGAGGACACAGATAAACCTCCGAGTGGCCTCAACGACCCTCTAAAAACGATACAAATGACCAGCTGTCCGCAAGGAGGATCAATCCTTCCGTTCCCCATCATCCGGTCAGAGCGGAAGAAGCTCCTTGGATGAGAAGCGAAACGTCTTCAGAAGAAGAAAAAAAACAAGGAAGTCCGGTTGCCTTCTGAAAAAAAAAAAAAAAACACCTTTGGGACAACTGTGACCTGGAGGACTGAGAAGGATTTATACTCCTTGCAGGCAACTTGGTCATTTGCATCCATTTTAGAGAGTCCCTGAGGCCACTTGGGGGTTTATCTGTGTCTTCTCAGGGTCACCTTGAGTAGTGCAAACGGGTGTGGAGAAGGCTCAAGTGACCCTGAGGACTCAGATAAACCTCCGAGTAGCCTCAACGCCTCTCTAAAAAGGATGCAAACGACCAGCTGCTTACAACGAGGATCAAACCTTCCGTTCCCCACCGTCCAGCCAGAGCAGAAGAAGCTCCTTGGATGAGAAGCAAAACTTCTTCAAAAGAAAAACCAAGAAAGGTCCAATGGCCTCTTGAACAACAACAAAAAAACCATCTTTGGGACAACCCAAACGACGTGGAAGATGGAGATTCTCCAGAAAGCCAGCCCCCCGCCGTCAAGAGACCACGGTTGAATTTAATGAAGCTTCTCCGGGGACGGAAGATTTGGGTGGAAACTCACCCGGATGATGTTGTCGGGGACCCGGTTCATATTTCGGTTCTTGATCCGTCCCGTCAGCTGGTGGGCCGTCTTGGTGGTCAGAAGGTACTTACTGATGAGGGGCTTGGGGAAGTCGGTGCCTTCGAAGTGCTTGAGACCCAGGGCCAACAAGCTGAAACAAGGGAAGGGGGTCAGGAGAGTTAGGAAGGGACGGGGGTGGGAAGTCCAAAATCCCAGCAACTGGTTCTCTGCCCGGTTGGTGGGTGGGCACGGCCAGGGTGCCCATTTTGTTTTGCCTTCCCCACAGTCCGGAGGCTTTCCTCAGGAGTCTGGGGAGGGCGAAAACAGCCTCCCCCGGGCTCCGGAAGCTGGAAACAGGCCTGTTTCCAGACTTCCGGAACGTTAAAGGTATTAAGGTTTAGAAACTGACCAGCAGTGAGTAGCTACACAATGCTGTGAAGCTGATGTGAAGTCTGGCTGATGTTAACGAGAGTGATTCAGCAGAGTGGGGGCATTTCCCTTTAAGGCTGGAGAGTAAAGTTCCCTTTAAGAGGGATGTATATAAATGGCAGCCATTAGAGGGGAGCGGTTCTTTTTTCCTTGTGACCCGGATTCAGTGCCCAAGTTCTCCGCGTGTGTTAAGAAGAAGACAAGCTTGCTTGTAAAGGTATTTTGCCACCACGTGTATATTGTCTTGTGCTTGCCTGTTGTGCATTAACCACGGTTAATGTCGACATCGCCGGGTGCTATGTGTCGCTCCTGGGTTGTCTCATAGTCACGCTGCCAAACACTCTGGACACAGGAGGCCCATTTCCCGCCTTCCCAGAGACCTCCGCGCAGATCCCGCGCTTACCTGTATCCAAAACGGGGCCACCTGGAGACTCCTGGGAGTGGTCAGGCGGGTGGGTGGGGCCAAGCCGGTGAGGTTCAACTCCTGGTTCGGTTGAACCGGGTGTAAACAGACAGTTCGCCTAAACCGGGCTGAACCAGCCTGAATCCCGCCCTCGGGAAGGGAAACGATACAGGATGGGCCCGTAAGAGGCGGATGCACCTACTTGTCTTCTCCTTTGGTGAAGACCACCTTGTCCCTGGGTGTTTTGGCTTTGAAGGAGCAGGTGGGGAGCAGCTCTGGGTAGAGGAAAACTCTCCGCGTGGCCAGGATCCAGGCCACTTGCTTCGGCAAGCAAGAAAAGTCGTTCACTAAAAGAAGAGAGAGAGAGAGAGAAGGAGGAGAAGGAGCAAGAGGAGGAGGAGGAGGAAGAAAAGAAAAAGAAGAGGAGGAGGAGGAGGAGGAGAAGAAGAAGAGGAGGAAGAGGAAGAAGAAGAAGAGGAAGAGGAAGAAGAAGAAGAAGAAGAAGAAGAAGAGGAGGAGGAGGAGGAGGAGGAGGAGGAGGAGAAGAGGAGGAGGAGAAGAAGAAGAGGAGGAGAAGGAGGAGGGGGGAAGGAGGAGGAGGAAGAAGAAGAAGAGGAGGAGAAGGAGGAGGAGGGGGAAGGAGGAGGAGGAGAAGAGGAAGAGGAGGAGGAAGAAGAAGAAGAAGAAGAAGAAGAAGAAGAAGACGACAAGGAGGAAGAGAAGGAGGAGAAGGAGGAGGAGGAGGAGGAAGAGGAGTAGAAGAAATCGATTTTTAATTCCTTCCTTGCAACTGACTCGTACTTATGACGGCCGCAGTGCTTCCCCCCCATCCCATCCCCCCAGGGATTGCGTGATTTCTCCCCACAAGCCAAACCCAGGGAGGAAGCCAGATTCATTTAACAACCGTTTTCCTAGTCGATTTCACTTAACGACGGGGGCAAGGAAGGTCTTCAAAACCGGGACAAACGCACCGAACAGATACGGCCCGCTTAGCGACAGAAACGATGAGTCCTAAGTCGAGGACCCTCTGTGGATTTTTGGGCCCGGGTTTTTTTGTTTTGTTTTTTAAAAAGGCACGACGTGCGGAAAAGCCTCGCCCGGACCATGTCAATATAATTATGATGGGAGATTTTAATGGAACTGTAGATAATAAATTACCCTCCCAAATCTTATTTGCATTGAAGGGCGGGACAGGACGGGACTCACTGTTCTTTTTGACGACTTTCCGGGGGCTCCACTCGACCTTGACGTGAGCGTGGAAGTCCCTGATCAGCTGCAGGGACTCCTTCAGGTTGAGAGGCTGGAAAGAGGTCTGGAAGGCCGGGTTGGAAGGCTGGCTGAGGGCGAGGGAGCTCTGGGCGAAGCTCTCCAACTCATTCTGCGGGGAACAGAAAGAGGGGAAAAAAGACAGCTGAAAAATCACGGCGGATGGGACTTCAGTCCAGCCTGAGGACGGAGGACAAGATGGAGGAGGAGGAGAAGAAAGATAAGGAGGAGATAGACGCGGAAAAGGAAGACAGGGAAGGGCAAAGAGGAGGAGAAGACTGAAGAAGAGCAGAAGGAAGAGACAGACAAGGAGGAAGGGAAGACGAAGAGAGGAGGAGGAGGAGATGTGGAAGGAGAAGAAAGATGAGGAGGTTGGAGGAGACGGAGGATATGGAAATAGAGGAGGAGGAGATGGAGGAGATGGAGGAGGAGGAGAAAGGGGACATGGAGAAGGGAAAGTTGGAGAAGGAGAAAAAGATGGAGAAGGATAAGAAGATGGAGGACACGGAAATAGAGGAGGAGGGTAAGAAGATGGAGGGCAAGGAGAAGATGAAGGAGGAGGAGGAAGAGGAGGAGATGGAGGGCAAGGAGAAGAGAAGACGAAGGAGAAGAGGAGAAGATGGTGAAGGAGGAGATGAAGGATAAGAAGATAGAGGACATGGAACTAGATGAGGAGGATGAGAAGATGGAGGGAAAGACGGACGAGGAGGACAGGAGGAGAAGATGGAGAAGAAGAGAAGGTGGAAAAGGAGGAGAAAGAGGAGCAGACGGAGAAGGGGAAGACAGAGAAGGAGGAGAAAGATGGAGAAGGGAAAGATGGGAGGAGAAGGGAAAGATGGAGGAGAAGGAAAAGATGGAGGAAACAGAACTAGATGAGGAGGAT